ACTATGCACACATTTTCTCTCTCCCTCTGTCAAATAATCTTTTTTTCAAAAAAGGAAAAAAATCAAAGACCATCTTGTGATATCTGATAGATTCCTATTGATCATATTACCATATTCTGAATTCCAGTAAGCTCATATATCAATTACCTAAAATAAATGGCTGCAATTATTAAGACTCATTTACAAGTATCTTTCCTGCTTTGTGTTTATAAGATAAGGGGATTCAATGATCAAAAGATACAGAGAAGACAATGTAGTAACTGAATAACTGATTGACGGGTACTGCGATTCCCTTTACATAGCACTATAGCTGGAATGTTTATATCCCCCCCCCCAAATTCATATAATGAGATCTAACCCCTAAGGGGTTGGTATTAAGAGGTGGGGCCTTTGGGAGGTGATTAGGACATGTGGGCAAAGCTCTCAGGTATGGGATTCGTACCCTAATTAAAGAGACCAAGAGCCTAAGGATAGTCCCTTCTGCCATGTGAAGGTACTGCAAAAGGCATAGTTTATGAACCAGGAAGTGGAATCTCACCAGACCAAGTCTACTGGCACCCTGATATTGGACTCCAGTCTCCAGAACTGTGAAAAATAAATTTTTATTGTATATAAGCCACCCAAACCATGGTATTTTGTTCTAGCCACCCAAACAGAGTAAAGCAGCAGTTATGATGTCTGTTCTCACAGTTTAACAGTCTAAATCAGTTTATGAATATCTTTAGCTCACTGATTCCTGGTGTTTTCTGTATTAGAAAGATAATAAGCTGTTTGCTTACTCTAGCATCCTAGCAGTGGTGGATCTTACAAAGTGTATGACCTATGTGAAATGTCTGTTAAGATAAAAATATATCCTTGAGTGAGTTTCTCCTCTGGTACTAATGTATGCTGTTATTTTGTATAGATCTTCAATATTGAGAAGTAAATACCATGGGGATGTGCATATCTTTCCTACTTAAAGAGCAATTGAGTTTATCATTGCTATATTCCAGTGGGGAAGGGGAGGTCATTGGGAAGTGCCTTATCTGTGATTTCTACAGTATAAATTGCCTGCTTAGGCACTAGCTATTCTAAGATTTGCTGTTGTTTATATTTCTAAGCAAGGATTTAGTAATCATCGATTTAGAAGATTTAACAGCTCAAGACAGCCAGATTTGCTGTTCCAAAAAAGGAGCCAGGAGATATACAAGTATCTTTGGTAGCAAATCTTGTACCTTTTGGGTTTATTTCAATCACTTAAAAAAACCATCACACCCTAAATGGCCTCTCCAGGTAGCTGCTTGGCAGTGAGTGAATAATCCACAAAAAATCCCAACATCCAGTGCCTGGACTGGGGCAAGAAGAAAAGACCCTCACACCCTGCAAAAGCTCCTTTCAGATATGGAAAAAGGAATGTAATTATTACCTTCAGCTAAAAATTGCCCTCTTTTCTTTTTGGGGGACCCTTATTCAAGGCCCAGATAAATAATGCATCACTGAAATCAAGACAAGGCAAGTATTTCCTTAACCTCCCAGCCTCGCACACAAAAGTGCCTGATCACACAGTGAGCAGAGGCCCCCTGAATGGTGTGAGGAGGAGGAGGAGGAGGCATGGCTGGGGCAACCTTTTACCGAAGCTTCAATGCCCCTGAATGAAGAATGGAGTTGAAATGATTAGAAGGGGTTTGCTCTCTAGTAGGCTGCACATGAGCCTCAACAGGCATCTGGGGAAACTGCAACTTCTTGCAAAATATCTTCTATATGGTGCAGTATTTCCTTTTCTGGACCTAAAAATCTAAAAAAAAAAAACAAAAAACCACTGTATAATGAACTCTTGGTTAAGGTTCAAAGCACACCCAAAGGCAGCTGAGCAACCAGGCTGAGTGGTAGGAGGAACACGTGAGAATGGCATGTGGTCTACGCCCTCCAGCGCCCATCTCTGGGTGACACATGTAACAGTACACATGTGCTCTCACTGTTCATTTGTCACTGTTCCGTTGTCAAAAAAAACAGAGTCACCATCTCCATCCCATGAATACATCCTCAAGCTGCCTGAAGGCAATCTGAGAAGCCATCCCTGCTTTATGTGTCGCTTGCTCTCTACTCATTTACTCAAAGCTCTCAACCTATTAATTTTTTTAAAAATTTTATTTCCTCAATACAAAAAAAAAATTTACCTTTAAAAGCTTTTTTGGGCATTGGATTTCCCATACCGTTTTTGGAGTTGATATGAGGGCTGTTAACACTATTAAAACAAATAAAAAAGAGGTGAGACAAGTGATCTTGAGGATAATGTCCTGCTAACAGCATGTGGACCCCAGTGCCACAGTGGGCAGGGTAAAATGGTGGCGGCATGGGGTACCATTCTGCCAGGGCAGAGCATCATGCCACAGGAAGGCTTGGAGGAAGGTGGTTCAATTCTCACTCAGCCTTGTTCCCTGCCAAGGCTGTCAAAGCATTCTACTCTAACAAACCTCTCACGGGGGCAGACTTCTCCCACGAGCAGAAATGATTCTAAAGGCACCTGGGGTCCATGAGAAAGAAAGCATCTTTGTTCCTATTGGGAACCCAAGCAAAAAGTCTTTATATTCTTTCCACTCTATCTTCCAATTCCTCTGCAGCTTTTCATCATTCCTGCCATGAAGAGAACATGCCACAACAGAGGAAATGCCACAGCAGCAAATTGAATGCTACACACACACACACACACACACACACACACACACACACTCACAAAGCTGGATAAAACTATCAGCAGAATGACTGCAGGAAAAAAATACATAGCAGAAAATTTTCATATGATATTCCCTGGACAAATTCCTCACTGGAAAATTCTTTCTCAGTGCACATACATCCCTTTAGTGTTTTAATATAATCTTCTGTGATACAGTGGTTAAGAGCACAAGCTCTGGAGAGAGACAGGCTCAAATCCCAACTCTGCCATTTATATCTGTGTGGTCTTGGACATGTTTTTTTAAACAAGTTCTGTGCTTTTACACCTTCCTCTGTTAAACAGGGATAGTAATTGAGTTGCTATGAGGATTAAACATATTAATGTATGTAAAACATTTAGAATAATGCAAATAAAGCTGTGATCATTATTATTATAGTTCAAAATTGCTTTCACATATTATAGTTGTTCCTACAAGCACTCTATGAAACAGAGGTGATCATTTTATCCATGTTTTACCAATGAGTATGAGGCTCAGCCAAGTGATTTGCTAAAAACACAAATATTCTGGCCAAAACAAGATTTGAATCCTGGTCTTCTGACACTAAATTTTGGATTCTTTCCCAATACATTGTATTATTTACATGTAAACAACAGCAAAAACAGCAATTATAAAATACACTATAAAATTTACACTAGTAAATTCCTAAAAGGAAGAAAACTATTGAGAACATCAGAGTACTTAATCTAGGAATTCATTCTTGGAATAAACAAATGATGAGTTAATGGCAGAGTTTAGCTAATGTGTTAAAGCTCATTTTCAGATTCATCCAATTAGGAATCTCCAAAATTCTGAAGTGAAGGGGGAGGAAGAAGATATATCAATTTGTATTTGTTGTTGTACATTGTACTTTTTGTAAAAATAGGTAAGCTCTCATCTTGGGAAAATCCAATATACAAAAATGCAGAACTACAAAATGGTTGAGTGACTCACTACTAAAGGAAACACTGAAGGGCTCAAATGTTTAAATGTGAGCCCTGCCATGTTATGTTGCTATAATTCACAAGCTAGCAAGGATTTTTTGACCAATGACATTCAGGCTATCCCCTCTTAGATCTAGAAGACTGAGAATTTCATCCCTCAGAATTCTTATCCATATTACACTTAAAGGGGACAAGTTTTATGAGACAAGCAGAAGACTGGTGAATATAAATGAACAACTGGCAGATAATCCTTCTTTCCTAATGAATTTTGTAATTTAGAGCATTTGAATGGATCCCTATGGGAGAAATTCTTTCATGACTAACACTCTTTCTAGTAATTGCATCTATTTCTAATTCATAAAATTTGAATGTGTGTTACCCTTCAAGAACTTGACTTCTATTTAATAAAGATTAACCTTTTATTTTTTAAGATTAACCACTAATATATGAATCTAGTTTTTATTTATAATATGCACTCTACATACAAATTATCTAAGATAATTTTTTAAAAACCATATTAAACACTAAATTTGAAGCAAAGATAGTATGCTAAAAACTATCGTCTTAAACAAAAAGACGCTGATAAACTCTGAATGACCAGTAAGTATATATATATATTCAGCTCACTATTCAGTTCTGGCAAGCTTTTACAAAAAGTCTATGCAAGACTTCCCTTGAAGTTCACCTGAGCAACTCACATTTAGATGTCCTCTCATCCAAGTCAACTGATGTCCATTCCATAGCTAAAGAAACACCCCCCTCTTCTGTTAATTCTGCAATTATATTTTCAATACGTGTATAATATTTCAGAAATATGCCTCTTAAAGCCATTTAGTTGGAAATATTTCATTCCTTTGATATGTACTTAAAAATCTATAAAATTCAAATAAATCTCACTAGTGAACATTACTAAGATACAGAGTATTATTTAGGCCAAAGAAAGGAAATGAGGTTTTTCTCTAATGATCAGAGCTTACATCTATCTCAGCCACCCACACTCAAGGCTATAAGATAGCACTACAAAAAAACAAAAAAACAAAAAAAATTGAAACAGATGGTAGAAAAGCACCTTTATGTTAAGCAATTAATAACTGAAGAAAACAGAAATCTCTGAGTAATCGTTTAAGCATTAGAGCAAGGTAATCTACTTGATTCCTATGGTTAATCTTGTCTACCTCCATCCTTGGTCTGGTTTGAGGCCACCAGTTATATATTTGTTGACCAAAGGATCCAACTCCCTCAACTGCAGTAAAATGCATGTGTCAGATTTCCTCCCCTACCCACCCACTCCCACAACACCACATAGATCCCCCAACTCCCTGGTTCTTTCCTGTAAAGTCAAAATCCTCCCACAACCCTGTCTTACCTGTTTCCCATCTAGGGTATACAGGCGCTTTACCACTCCCGAGTCCAGCTTGATCGCATCAGTTATGTCAGTGAGAACCTGCTCAAAGGAATGTGCGGTTTTCTTGTTCAGCAGAATCCTGACAGCTTTTCGTGGCTTCACCCCACTTCTGATAATGGTGACCAGCTTGGGCCGAATGAAATCCTTATTCTCCCGCACCTCCGAAGGGCTCCCTTTGGCAGTAGCCAGTGAGGACACGGCCCGGGAAGCGGAGGTGGTCTTGACATTCACCGACCAGTTGGGGTTCACATTCTTGGTGTACTCCAGTTTCTTGAAGGGCTCTATTGAGCCACACACATAGCTCTCTCCTGAGAAAGAGAGAAATGTATTTAAATTTACACTAAGGCAAATGCATTTCCTTTTTCCTAGTCTTTTGGTTTCTTCCTTTTCTACTAGAAGTGCGAGCTAGTTGTGACTTTTTAAACAAAGGAAGCATGATTAACACTTAATGAAAACAAAGATTTTTTTACTCCTAATCTGGCTCTGTCAACAATAAACTGATATTCCAGAGGAGAAAAAAAAAATCAACATCCTTCCCTTTTTTCATTTTCCAAAGGCTTTTTCTGGCAGAAATACTGATAGTGAATAGACCTCAGAAATAAATTGGATTCAAAAAAAAGTATCCTCTGGTATTTGGGTGTATTTATATTTGCAAAAAAACTTCAAAATCAGAGGTACCTACATGTAGTAATAATGTAAATAACCTAACTGGAAAACAAAGTGGATCAGAAAACAGCTTCTTAAAATAGCTCTATAATTCATTGCACTGATGATAAATGGTACAGTTATGGTGAGCACAGCATAATGTATAGAGTTGAATCACTATGTTGTATACCTGAAGCTAATATAACACTGTGTGTCAACTATACTTAAATTTTAAAATCTAAAAAAAAAAAAACTATGTAATTTATTGGTTTGATGGGAGTGTGTGCTGAACATTTTGTAAAATCAAGTAAAACTCCAAAAGCAAGCAAAATAACCATCACCAGCTAGACTCCAAGAACTGACCTCTGCTGCTCACCTGCTGAACCCACCAACCTAGGTCCCACATTATTCCTTAAGCTCTTCTCTCCAGTTTGTCTCTTAATCAGGTAAAAGACCCAAGGAGTATAGCATCCTCTGAAGGAAACCAAACTACCCTTCAAGCAATAATGACTGCCTGGAGAGAGCCCTGGCCACCCAAACCCCCCAGACTAGTTCGAGTTTAATCCCTAAATCAGGGCTGCGCAGATGGACCATGGTGTGACCAAGTTACCTTTCCCTCATTACAATGCTAAAACTCACATCCAGAGGTGGAGACTTAGCATGCAAATGAAACATGATGTTTGAATCAGGGTGGTCTGTCAACTGCACCTGTGTACCCAATTCTGCCTAGTTCCCTCCCTTACAGGCTTAGATAGGGCTCCTTCCCTAACAAGGCTGCTGTAAAACCTTTGCTGGCTGTTGTTCAGGGAGTCAGTCTGAGACCTTTGTCCTGACTGTGTCCCTTCAGCTGCAGCTGGTGCCCCCAATAAAACCTTGCCTGTGCTTTTAACTATTGGGTCCAGCCTCGTTCCTACTGTTCCTGCATCCCAGGACCTGAGTCCGGCAACGTAACCAGGCTACCTTTCCTCCTGTCAACACTGGGCCAAACCCAGTGATCCACATACAGTAGGAAACCAATTCATATCTGTTTATAGATAAAAGGTTTTGAGAATGGTTAACTTATAAACTAGCTTCAGAAACTGACTCTAAAATAGATGTAGTTACATAAGATGAATAAGGTTTGAGGCTGTAATGAATAACATGGTGATGATAGGTTATAACACTGTGGTATAACTGAAGTTTGCTATGAGAGTAGAACTTAAATATTCTCGCAAAAAAAAAGATAAATATATGAGTTAATGAATGTGCTAATTAACCAGATGGGGAGAATCTTTCACAATATACAAATATATCAAATCGACATGAAGTATGCTTTAAGCATCTTAAAATTCTGTCAATTATACCCCAAAAAAGCCAATGTAAAAAAAAAAAGAAAAAAAAAATTAAATTAGATTTTTAAAAAATGACTCCTTAACAGAAACTCATCTAATGAAAATATCAGACTATTAAGAAGATGTGGCTCACACAAAAATGAAAGTAACACATGTACCAGGTGATGATAAATCATAAAATGAATGATCCCATCTATATATATTTCATAAAGTAAGGTCAACACATTTTGAAGAGTTTTATAAGGGTTTTTCTGTGGGTTAGTAAGTCTTTGTAACAGGGAATAGTTAAAATGAGAAAAAGCTTTCATAATTGCAGGTAAAGTGACCTAGGACTAATCCTACACACCCCATTTACTTTTATCTAAATCCTTGTCCTATTTTTAAATTAATAGTCCAAGTGTCCAAGGCCACAGTATTCACGTAAAAATAACTGAACCAGGGTTTTAAAAATAGAAAAGCACAGTTATACATGTTATCAAACATTTACTCTGTACATGCTTCTAGACTTCACTCTAATGTGTACAAAAAGTAAATGTAGTAAATTCCTTTTTTGTTCACCTAGTAGATTATTACTGGTCTCAACTATGCTTTTCTCATGGTTTATATAGATATCAAAAATATATGCATGGAGGTCACAACAACAGTGGTGCTTCTGAGGGCTTTGTGGAGAGACCATGAATGCTCTGGCGGGAAGAGAAATGGAAGTCTGAGCTCTGGCCTCTCCAAGCATGTGACCTTGGGCAAGTCCCTTAGTCTTCTCAGTGGTAGTTTATTCATCCATCAGACGTAGTCTATTCCAGTGGCCACTAATCTCACCAGGTTTTTGTGAAGATCAAATTAGAAAACAGGCCAGAGTAATCTCAAATACAAAACTGCTACACAAGTGAAAACCCCCTCTAAGGCTGCATTACCCTGATTGTGCAATAAGCCTGAAAGGAAAACTTAAAAACAAAATTACTAGAAATCAGTGAGCAGCTCTTACATTATAAAGTGTTCATTGTTTCTAACTAGTTACCAACAGACCAACAGACATCATTTTGGGTCCATCTCAATAAAAGGATCCTCGGAAATGTTGCTTAACTAGGCACACACAGCCCAAATAGAACAGGCAAAACCAGTCTGTCAGAATTCCGTGCTAATCAGAGATATGCAAGGGTCTGATTATTTGTAAGTCTATATGCTAAGCTAATAATTAATATCAAAACAAAATGAGTGGTTTACACTCCAACAACAAAGAAAATTTTTAACTTTAAATATATATATATATACACATATATATATATACATATATATATAATTAGAAAAGGGAGAAACTGTAAAGTACCCACATTAACAATGTGGAGTGGATTTGTTGAAAAAGAAAATAAACACTTTTTTTTATATCTTCTTAAAGAACACTGTAAAAACCTTTAAGCATGACAACTTTGACAAGATAATGCTGATGTGGTTCAAGCAACAATGATGGGAAGAAACTTAGGTTAAATCTGTGCTGGTACTTTGTGGCTCCTCTGCCTGGTTTACCAGATTCAAAAATTGCAACAGAATCTTGGGGAAGGGTGTGAGACTCCAATAAAGAGTGAACTTTAAAAAAAAAAAAAAAAGAGTGAACTTGTGCTATAAGGAAAAGTACCAGCACTTCCAGAAGACAGAGCTGGCCACCAAACCCAAGACCATCACACACCACTCAGTACTGCCATTTTGAATCTATGACACTCCACGAATTCAATAAGACAAGATGGGTTTCCTTACACTAAAAAGCTTCTATTAAATTATGCAAATGGATTTACATTAAAGACTTATTTGACCCATATTTTGACAACTTTTCTTTTAATAATCATTCTGAATTTCTACCCACTATTAAAGATCCTGCCTTATCTTAACTCAAAGTTGATTTAGTCTCTGATTTTGTTAGGAAACAACTTTTCAATTAATGTGCTGATATCTTTGACAACTAAAAACCAGCAAATGTAATTGTTCTGAATGGAAAGAACACATAGCCTTAATTTGATCAAATAGCTCGGTATCCAGTGTTTAATCTCTCCCTAAATGGGGCCAAGACTTAAGAGATTTGTTATATTTTTTATTAGAGAATCATCAATTAGTTGTAGTCAAGCCCTGACAGAGAAATGGGTATTAAAGGTCATTGAAAAATTAAAAAATAAAGTAAAACTTAGAATTACTATAATAAACTTCTTAATACACACTAAATCATCCCAAAGTTTTATGGTGTGATTTATGTTGCAACAATAAAATTAAAGTTAATTTAAAAAAACCAAAGTATATTTGAGCAAAATGGTCTGATGTTGTGATTTATAGTAAAAAATATATACTTGGTCTTCAAACTATTTCTGGCACAGGAATGCTAAAACCTTTGGAACTTCCTAAGTAATTAGAGCAATAAAGACATCTTGACGTGCATACTCAAGCCCCTTTCAACCACATCTTAGTTCATGTTACTGAGAAGACTGAGAAAACACCTAAGGATGTGGGCCATAGGCCAGGAGAACCAACTGAGTGATAAGAGGGTAGGAAATTGCAGACCCACCTCCCCGACCTTGGGGAGGAGATAAGGGATACTAGTTAAATCCAGTGATTTAATCAATCGTGCCTATGTAATGAAGCATCCATAAAAAAAAAACCCCAAGGGACAGGCTTCAGAGAGCTTCTAGCTGTTGAACATATGAAGATTCAGTGGGAGTGGTGAGCTCAGAGAGAGCATGGAAGCTCCAAGCCCTTTCCCCAATCCTTGCCTTTTTTATCTCTTCCATCTGGCTGTTCCTAAATTATAAACTTTTGTAATAAACTGGTTATCCAGTAAAGAAGGAGTTCTGTGAGCCACTCTAGCAAATTAATTGAACCAAAGGAGGCAGTCATGGGAACTTCTTATATTATCCAATCCATCCATCCTAAGCACAGGTGATAACCTGGATTTGACTGGTGGATGTATGGTGAAAACCCCACATACAGAGTGGAATTAGTGACTAGAATTTTATAACCCCAAATTTGCTTTGAAAGTTTGGGATTATTTACTATAGGTGAAGCTTAACTAAGAATGGAAAGAAGGCAAAGATCATACATGGTTTAAAGGAAACAGTATAACAATCTATTTAGACATTGAGCTGGGAATTACCAAACATAATGATTTGCTGGTTGGTTATCATACTGTTAGTTTTGTTCCAGTTTATTCAAAGCCAAAATCTTTGTGTTAAGACTGATCCTCAGGGCACCTGGGTGGCTCAGTGGTTGAGTGTCTGCCTTTGGCACAGGTGGTGATCCCAGAGTCCGGGGATCAAGCCCCACATCAGGTTCCCCCGCAGGAAGCCTGCTTCTCC